TTAAAGTTACAGTGCAGTAAGCAAGTAACATATTTAATACTATTAAGATATTACTTTTAGTGATTGGTTTTATTTAACATGATACTTAAAAAAGTAAAAGCAAAAAACTAAAAGTAAAAAAAACTTTAAAAAGTAAAAAGCAAACAATACAATATTTAAACCACTTTAGATAGTCATAGAAAACTATTTATTACATTTATGGTGACAATAAAACATGTGTTATTTTAAAGTATATTTAATTGTTATTGTGAAAAACTAAAAAAACAACAATAAACAAACCCTAAAGTTGTTTTAAAAATATAAATAGCTTGTGTTAATGTAAAACAACTTAGTGACATAAAACAACTTAGTGACAAAAAACAACTTAGTGACGCTGTTTTGTTGCTGTTTTATACAGTATAACCTTAATAACATAAAAAAGCGTTTAAAATAAAACAAAGCAAATAAATGAAATTGTTTTAAATCATAAATTAAAAAATTATTGTCATAAAACTTAATATTTGTGTATTATTGTGTATAACATGATCATTTATTCAGATGATAAATTTAGCATGACATACATTATGACAAAACATTGGTTTTAAGAATTGCCAAAAAAAAATGCTAAACTAGAAAAAAAAAAAATAAACAACCAAAAAAAATAAACACATCAGGAAAATATATATATTTTTTAAAACTAATTGTGAGGGTGTGAAAAGCAATTGCGATATGCTTAATTCGAGCCCTCAAGTGTATATGGCTCTAAAAGATTGTTGCATTGTTATTAAACCATTTGACATGTAATAAATATACAATAAACTATTTTCTATGCAATCGCCCCTGCCTAATTCTCTTTAACCATTTTTTTTTTTTTTTAATTTTCTTTATTTTACTTTAATGTATATTCAATATTTCTATCTTCTAAAATTCTATGCTTAAAAAATTGTTACACAACAAAGCTCTCCTAGGACTTATCCTACTTCGTCTCTTCTTTCCTAGTTGTTAAACTTCTTATTAATGATAATCATTATTTGCTACAAATTTTTTATTTTGATTATAGTAGTAAAATATATATAGATTGCTGTTTTATATTACTGTATTTAATACTATTATTATATTAATAATAATATTTGTTTCTATTATTAATAATTTATTTATTATTATTATTATTATGCTATTATTTAAAAGTTTACAGCTTCTTTAAAAGATAGTTTGTGAATTGATAACTACATCAGAGTGTACACTTTGATGTAATTATCATAATCATTGTGGTTTTTTTCAAATAAGTGATTTTTTATGTCTAAGTGTGTTAGTATATCTACTTTCAATTGAAAAAGATCTAAATGCTGCTAAGCAATACTCCAAATGAGGCCTTACATAAGAGCAGTAAGGGAACATTGAACATTTCAAGAGTTCAAATTTTTTAATGTGTATTTAAGAATTCTGAGAACAGCATATAAGTTTAAAATAGCTTTTGATACTTAATCGTTCCACGAAAACTGATTGTGAACAACAGCACTAAGTTAAAGTTCAGAGTCATTTTATTTAATAATATGAGTAAAGCCAGTTTTGTAAGCCATTGTTATATGGAAACAGGGGCTGTTAAATTTATTATCAATTAAACTTTTTGTTTAATGTGCAATGATGCTTTTGAAAATCATGTACTTGCATTTTTCTAGTTTTAAGTTCCGTGTGTCAGCCCAGTCAACTACCCTATTAATGTTGATTCGTAATTGGTGCAGGTTAGGGGCCTTTTTAATAATTGCAATAAGTTTGGAGTTGTCAGCATAAAGTTTGCAATGGTGATTGAGCAGACATTGTTTATCATTAATAAAAATGAGGAACAGTAGTGGTCTAACACATAAACCATAAGGCATGTCACTGGAGACATTTAACCAGTGTGATTCTGAATTTTCTATATTAAATTGTTGTTTTCCATTGCATAGAAGTGCATTTATCCACTGGCTGATATATTTGTCAAAACTATACCAGCCTTGGAGTTAGAGTCGGCATTTGGCAATGCTAGCCTAACTGCCAACCTAGAAGTATTTGAGATGTTTATATGGTAAAAGCTTTGAATCAAATTTTTTATGCTGACTTCTAAAAGATTAAGGTTGGCAAATTATTGCTGACCTCATTTTTTCTTATTCCAAGGGCTGCCGTATGCACAAACTTTGTGAAGAAGTAGAGAGTGATTGACTTTATTGAACACTTTGGCAAAGTTAAGTGAAACAACAGCCAACTCATAATGTGACTCCATCGCATTGGTAATTAGATCAAATGGTTCCAAAAAATTGGTTAAACAAGACTTGCCAGGTGTAAAGTTGTGTTGGTTTGTCACAAGAAGGTTGTTAGAAAGTAAATTTTTTAGTATTGCATCTCTAAAAAGTCTTTCAATTATTTTGCATAGAACAGATGTAATTGAGATTGGGCAGTAGTTTTCAGGATTAGTTTTTTGACCTTTTTTTGTGGATAGGTGTAATAATATTTAGCTTCCAGCTATTTGGAACTTCACTGAAGTGAAAAGATTTGCGCAAAGTTGGGGCTGAAATCAAAAAGTGTATTTTATTTGTAAAAAGTGGTGCATGGCTCAAAAGATGTTATTCAATTTAATGCAGTGCATGGTTAAAAGATTTTATTCAATTTAATCTTTATATTTGACAACTTATAATAAATCTGCCAATGGTTGAAGTATATATTCTTCAATAATATCAAATTTCTGATCTTATTTTGTTGCAATAAATTAAACTAATCTTGGGCGTGTAAATGTTTTTTGTTTATGTAAAGAAAAAATTATAAAAATTTTTCTTAATAAAAAATTTATTCTAAACATGTTTCTAATTTTTTATTAAGTTTAGCCATACATCTTCGACTGACAAAAAAAAATTTTTGCATAATAAATATATATTTTTTGTCTTATTAAGCTGGTTGTTGTTAAGTGTTGTTAAAGTTAAAAGTTTTTAATGCAAATAATGTAAAAATGTATACACATCAGGGCACAACAAATCGATGAACGTGCATTGTTTTTAAAAAAAAAAGACAGAAAAACAAATGTCACGTTTCTTTATTTTTACTTAGCATATGTTGGCCTTGGCTTAAAAATTTTCAAAACGAACACTACTTCAGCAAATTTTTTTGCAATAATTATGCAGTTGATAGTTTTTTATTTATAATAAAAGACATATTTATAAGAAAAATATAATTAGTTACTAACATTTAAAACGCATTTTCAAAAGCTTTAAAAGAAACCAAGCTAAAACAGGATTACTTTCATTTTTTACTTTTAAATTAAATAACTAAGTACGCCATTGAAGAAAGTAATTATGTTTTAGCATGGCTTTTACATGTATTTACAAAAGACTGCAAAATTTCACTTAAATTGAATGCATTTGCTATTACTTTTAAAGAAGCCATGCTAAAACGCATCCCTTTTTTTAAAAAAAAAAAATTTTGTCGTTAAAATAAAGTGATGTTTGTTTGCATACTAAAAACACTTTAAAAAGTCTTGAAAAAACTTTTTAAGTATTGTTGAAATATATATAATCTAATAGAATATATAGAATTATTTTGTTTATTATAGTTTAGTTTATCATTATAGTAATAATATGATATTTTTATTATTAAATACTTAATGATAATATTGTATTAAGTATTTAAAAATAACTTAAAATAATAACTTATTAAAACTTAATATGATATTATTATTTTTAAAGGTTTAAAAAAAGAAATGTCAAATAATGATGAATTTGCTAATGCTGTCAATTCCAAAATGTTTATTTCACAAGAAGGTTTATTTTCTTTTAGAGTTTAACCATCTGTTACTTCTTGCAGTAACAGTTTTTCAACAGAAATGTTCCTACGAGATGTTAGCAATTATTTTCTTTAACATTCTAAAAAAGAACAATACAGATATGCATTAAAAATACTTTTTATATTTACATTTATTTTTTTTCAAAAGCGCATACAGTGTAAACTTATTGCTGTCATTTTATTATTGATGACAAAAATATTAACACGAAAAGTAGTATGTGGAAATCAAAACAGCATTTCATCATGACAAAAAATTTGCTTCATGCGATGTTTTTTCGTCTTGTGAAAAATGTCCTTTAATTATTTGCATGCACTTGGAAATGCATGAAATATTGTATTGAAATAATAGGAAAATGTATATATTTAATAGCATGTTTGATATATCTAATAACTTATTAACTAGAATAAAAGTTATTTGAAAATAAATCTCCCTCATTTAATAAAATATTTGCATAAAAAAAAGTTATTTGAAAATAAATCTCCCTCGTTTAATAAAATATTTGCATAAAAAAATTATTTGAAAATAAAATTCTAATTTATTTTCAAATAATTTTTTTTAATGCAGTTTACGTAGTGATAGGTAATAAACCTCTTCTTTGAATCTTTACCCGTATTTAAGACTCAGCACCTGTAAGTAGTTTATCCTGTCAGATTATTTTATTTGCAAATGTTTACCAACTGTTTTTCTAACTGTGTTAAGAGTATTTTCTAAAAAAATGATAAGAATTCTGTTTCAAAAATTTAAGATTTGAAGTGGTAATTTTTTAGAAGGCATTTTATTTTATAAACTTTGCTTTTAATAAAGCTGATCATTTTTATATGTAATCTGAAAAATTATTTTGTATATTGTATAACATTTTTGTCTATTGTATAACATATTTTCAAAAGTTATAATTTGTTAACTTATCATAAATCTTGCCATAAATTATAGAAGTTAGATAAAATAAAATGTCATTTTTTTAACAGTCTTATAGTGTGCTAACTTATTTTTCTTACTGCTTGTCACCTTTATACAACTCTACATTTCATCACCCTGCTTCCTGTTGCCAACATTACTCTTTGGTTATTACTCTTTACACCACATTATTATATTCAACTAACTTATTTATGATGTTAAACTCTTTTTAAGTTATTTAAATTTTTAGTGATATTTGTTTTTTATATTAAATTTTTATTAAGTTTTTTTTTTTCTAAAATAAAATTCATCTTAGCTCAGTCTTGCTAACTTGGAGCGGCAAATATATGCGTTTGAAGGAAGTTATTTAGAAGATACTCAGCTTTATGGCAATATTATACGTGGTTGGGATAGACTATTAACTCAAAAGTAAGTAATTATTTTGAACAAACCAAAGGTTTTAAGAGGATAACTAACCTGATTAATAGCAGGATAATTAGCATTTTTTTTATTAACAATATTTAAAAAAAAACTACTGACCTTCAGTATGTTTTTAAAATATATAATAAGCCCTACTTTTGTATTTTTAGTTGACACAAATTTTTTTAATGTTTCATTATAAAAACGTATAAATCTCAGACCCTTTTAAGTTGGCAGTTAAGCATTTGTCAATGCTGACCTTAATTCCAAGTTCTGCCATTGTTTTGAAGTTTTGTATTGTGCTCAAATTACCTGTGTAATATCACTTTTTTGCCTGTACTGTTTAGTGCATCCAATACTGGTAGTACCGATACCGGAATACTTGTATTACCAAACTTTTTCAAATACTAAAATACAGGTATTGGGTTGGCTCAATACTGGAATTAAAAATATATGTAGAGAGAGTGAGAGTATAAGAGTTGCTTGCTTAAGAGTTTGAGAAGAAGAAAATGATAAGCTGTTTAAATGAATTTCTTTTATAAAAAATTATGAAAATTTTAAGCATTTTAGAGATAAAACTCTCTGACTTTTTTTCAGTCGCCAGAAGGGTGACTGAAAGTAACCAGTTTGTTAATGTTGGTCGCCCGCCGACGTTTTGAGTTACCTGTTGCCATTTTTTATTTTAAAAATTTGCACTCAGCGGAGTTCTCGGTGTTTTAGTCGTTTTTTGTTATAGGGCTGAATGTACGCTGGAAAAAATTTGCGGAAATAAAAGTAATATTGTAAACTATTGATAACATACACTTTTCTACTTTCATATAAAACGTATGTCATTATATTTTTAAACTTTAGTTGAGCGCTTATTTTATTAAAAACAGGCCCTCATTTGCAACAAAAAACTTTTGACAATTGTAAAAATACAATTTACAAATACTTTAAAACCCTTTGCTTTTAATGTGTTGTAATTATTATGATCTTATTTGTTACAAGAAAAGCTATTTCTATTTTGAAAGGTAAATAACAATACAAAATGAAAATATAAATAAGATCCAAAATAAGATCCAAAATAATTTTATATTGTCATATATTGTTACAGCTCTATCACTGTCATCATTGCTACTTGCAAAAATCTTTTCTTTGCTTTTTTAACTGACACGACTGTTGTAACTAACTCTTGTAACCAACTCTTCTTTTTTGATTGATGTCAGTTTTATTTTTTCATGACGGCTTTAATAGCCAGTGTTCAATGGCTTTTGTTGGATTGTATTCTTCCATTCAATCTTGATGCGCAATTGCATTGTTAATAACTTGTTACTGACTCGTGTTCTTTAAATTGACTTAATGTTTTTCATTGCACTAAAGCCTTTTTCCGCTTCTGTCAAAATCAATCAGAGAAAAAAGATTAGTGAATCTAGTTTAATACTAATCGCAATTTGTGCCCAAGATAGCGGTGGAAATGATTTTGAGCTTGCACTCGTCCAAGTTGCTATTATTTTTTTCAATATTTTCTACTCTGATATAATATTTCCCACATCTATTGGTTTATATTCGAGCTGTTGACACAGCATATTGTTATCGATAAAGGCTTTTATGTTAATGTCTAGCATGTTTTTATGTGACTTTGTTGTTTTCAGCCATGAAAATATTGCTATCCTTCCATTCAAATGTTTTAAGCAACTTGTCCGCAAAGACATCTGATACATTTGTAAAGCCGCAAATACATCTGATACATTTGTAAATCGTTTCAGAATACACTTCTTTGTGGATGTAGCAATAGAAACTCAAACTTCATATTTTATCACTTCCTGCAAATTTACAATCCCATATATTGAGCGCTTCTTCCAGTTAAAATCTGAGTCTGGATTTTCTTCGAATCTTTCTAAACTGCAAACAGCATGCTTAAGCAAAGACTTTACTTCATACATTGAAACTTTTTTTTGTGTTTTACTTTTAAATAAAACTTAAACAATATTATTATTGGTATATTCTTAAATTTCTAAGTAACTGACACTTTGTATAAGAAAAACGACTGAAGTATATTCTTAAATTTATTCATTACATTAACGTTTTAATTTGAAAAACAATAGTGAATCTTTATTAAATACTATATAGTTAAGTTATATGTGTAGTTAAATATTTTAGTTAAGTAGTTAATTCAATATCTAATTTACAGTGACAACTTATGTATTTTATCAATGAGGAATTGTGAAGCATGAGGAGGCAACATTTTAAATATTTTTAAATAAATAAAGTTGATGTATTTTAAAAAGTAATAAAAATCTGAAAGATCGAGTTTCTTAGCGATAATCATTTTCCTTTAGTGTTGTATCATGAAAGATCGTGTTAGTTTCTTAGCGATAATCATGCATTTTCCTTTAGTGTTGTATCATGAAAGATCGTGTTAGTTTCTTAGCGATAATCATGCATTTTCCTTTAGTGTTGTATCATGAAAAGTCATATGACCTAAATTTAAAAACTGTAATTATTGTAGTTTTCCTCTGTCCTTAGAGTTAAAATTTGTGTAAAAATTAGAGTTTTTTTGAAAATTATAAACTTTTTTTTATGAAAATTATTATTATTATTATTATTTTGCATAACTAATTTTTTTTTTACAAAATATAGAACCAGCGGACCAAATCAAAAAGTTGAAAAAAGAAATCGAAAGTTTAAGGAATCAGAAAGATTATTTTCAAAATCTTCAATAACTTCTGCTTCTGTAAGTAAACTGTTTATTTTCAAAGTCTTCAATAACTTCTGCTTCTGTAAGTAAACTGTTTATTGTTCAAAGGATTTTTGAAATGTTTTTTTAATTTGTTGTTTTGAAGTTAAATACTATTTTTTTTTAATATAACACTTGAATAATAAAAAAAAATCTTTAGGAATTACAATATTTTTAACCAATAAATTTTCTGTAACAGAAAAATCAAGTTATTTATTCAATGATTTTGCGTCGCTCTTTATAACTTTGCAGTTATAGCAGGTTTAGCTACATTTGCAATGCTTTTTTTCTTTTGTCTTGTTTTTTACCAATTAAAATAAGCAATTTATTAATTAAACACTACTTGACTTTGGTTGCAATTTTTCATTCTTAAAAATTTTCCTTATGAACAATCTTTAAAAAAATGGAGAAATGGTATGATGCTCTTATGTTTAACTTATTAATTCATTTTTTCTTAATGTGATGTATTTTCTTTTTAAAATTTTATCAAAGTAATTGGGGCTTGAATTAAGCGTATTGTGATTGCTAATTGCATTAACTGAGATTACAAACTAGACAAAAATTGAGAAGAGAAGGTAAATGATTTAGGTTGTTTGGAAAGCGAGTTGGAAAGTTGACTATTTGTGTTAGAGATTAAAAAAGGCAAAACTTGTAGGTTTCAATGCCTGCAGAGTCACTAACACTAGAGCCAAGCCATTCAGTGTGGTGAGCATTAAAATCACCACCTACTATATTTTAAGTATAAACTACTACTATATTTTAAGTATAAAGTTTATATATAAGGCTTAATATTACTTTATAAGTAGAAAGGCCTAATATTATTATATATTAATAATAAGTATAAAGAGAATGGGTTTGGTCAATTTGATCAGAAATAACACAGAGAAGAGTGCAGTCTTGAGATGAAGGAGAATGATATAGAAGAAAGAGAAAGGTGATAGAGTGAAGTGGTGCTAAACAAAAGTATAGAAATAAATAGTCTGTGAATTCCAACATAGTTTACAGACAAATGGGTGAATTCTTAGGAATGTAAATACCTAAACCAAGCATGTGACGATTGAAGTCTTTACAAACTAAAGGAAGATTAGTACTAAGAATACTCAAATTAGTCTCCCAAAGAGTAAGTAGGTCTGATGAACTTTGCAAGAGGTTCAACAGAAGAAAAGTTATTTCAAAGACTACAAATAATAGTGAATAATAGATTTAGAGAACTTGGTGATGACAATGATTTTTGTGTTATACATTTTTTGGTACTTAAGTCTTTTTTGGATTTTTTAAAGAACTTGACTCAAAGTACTCAGTACACTATTTAATAGTCCAAGCATATCTTTTATTATTTCTAATAAACTCTAACCTCTAACAAAGGGGCTCCAGCTGTAACAAGGGCACCATCCATGCGCTACATGGTATTGTTAGTACTCTTATATTCTACAGCTGTTAATGGAATCAGTCTCTCTGAAAGCTACCACAGAGTTCGGGAAACCTTACTACCAGCTGACCTCAGAACAATAAAACTGAATTTTAGAGCTGTATCCTCATTAAGAGATAATATAATGAGTTGCCTAGTCATAAAAATAGAGACACAAGCAGAACCCGTGCATTAATGAAGAAGGACAGCAAAGCTGGTTGACAGATACAATCTGTTTACCCCTTAAGAACTAATTATATTACCTATAGTAAAGCATAAGTTTTGATTTTACTTTTTTTTTTTAATTTTTACTATTTTTTTGATATTTTATTAGTTTTTTTTTTTCATTTGTTTTTTTGATTTTATCTTATTTTTTTGGTCTATAGATGTTTTTACAAAAATAATGTTATATGATTGTAATGATTTTATTAATTTTAATTTATTAGTTAAAATAATTCTATTTATTTACTACATTTTTTATGAAACACTTTTAATGTTTTTAATGTTTTTTTTTTAATGAATTGTATAAAACAGCAATAATACAAGTTTTTGCAAAGTTGTATTTTATCAGCAAAAGCATTTTTTTAATATACAAAACAAATCCGCAGTATTGTTGTTTTATATAGCTTTTTACAATTCTATACGCTTTAGAAATAAAACATGTTTTATCATCAGTATGAGCGGGGTAAATTTATAAATTTACCCTTTTTACGTTGATAAATTTTGTATAAATATTTAAAGAAATTTTGTAAAAAATTAAAAAATTTTTGCAATTAGATTTTTTGCATTAGCCCTGGTAATCTGTTTGCCATAAGGATCCCTTTTGCAAATTTAAGGAGCTTTTCTTTTCTTTTTTAGGAATATCAATTTGAAAGTTTTACTAACTCTATAGATGTTTTTAAGGAGCTTTTTAATAAAGTAGTTAACATTTATTTCAACGGTATTTTCATGAAGTAGTTAGTTTTTTAAAAATCGCACACCGTTGTGACAAAAGTTTAAATTACAAATGCATAAAATATGCTCATTATTTACCAATGTTTTAAATTCAGATAAAAGAAAAAGTTTTAATTTTTATAAAACTTTATTATCAAAAGTTTTTTATCAAAATATCGAAATTATGAAATATTCAGAAGAAAAACTTATCTATTGTTTTAATACAAGGTAAATGAACTAAATGTACAAAAATTTAGAAGAAAAAATTAATTTAATTGAATCTAGAATGTTTGTTTAGACTATTATACTATTATACTATGATTTAAAAGTTACATTTGTTCATATATGAATTATGTTCAAGAATGTTCAGCTTTATTAAAAGCATAAACACTTAAAATAAGCTAGCTTTATAAATTAAAAAAAAATTAATAAATACATAGGTTTACCCACAGCTACTCTGTTTTGCCAAAATTATTGATAAGTTGGCAAAACACTTGCTCAGCTGTGCAACAAGTTATTATGTTGGTAAAATTTTTAATATTCAAGAGTTTTCTGGTGAAATAGTTCACCATTCACCATTAAATAAGATTTTAGTTTTTTCTTATAAATAGTTGCATTTTTTTTTGTCACAGATGATATTTGGAATTATATTCTAAAGTTTAGGACCATAGTGGGATGATACTCAATCACCAAAACAGTTACTGAATTTTGTTTCCTTTAAATTTAGAGTTCTTTCGACATAGAGTAGTGAATTAAATTGTATAATTATGTTAGTGCTTCATCCATGTTTTGATAATTAAAACTGTCTAGATTCTGGTCAAGTATATGCTCCATTATGTCTGGAAGTTTTAACTAAAGTGCGAACATTCCATGTGAGCATAATATATAATTTATATAGGTTCTATCATCCTTCTGGACTTGATTTTTTAAGGGTTTTTTTTTTTTTTTCTTAAGTGAAGAACATTAAATACTAAATACGCGGTGAAGATGATCATCTAAAATACAGTTAACACATTTTTTATCCATTGAAAAGCACTGATCAGTTAGATGTTTTTTGCTCATTTAGCTTATATCAGATCTTGATTCATTCATTTGCAAAATGCTTATAGCTTTAACAGTAAAAACAACGCATTGAGTTTGTCATATATTCTGCAAGAAGTTAATCAGAGTGTGACTTTGTTTTTATAACATTGAAATACCTTTTCATAATGTTTTACTTATTTTTGCAAGGACTTAAAACATAGATGATTTATTTTTTATCAGTTTGATAACTTCTTCTTCTCTACTTCTTTATGATGAGCTTGGAATAAATGATTTTATTAATTCTTGGATAACTCTGTTTTGTGAGTGTAGCATATTAACAACTTCATTATCATTATATTTTTTAGGTAAATCACTAATAATACAATTTTGCATGTCTAATTGATATGATTTTATTTTTATTTGATTGTTTGTGTCTTTGAGAGGATTCAGCAATTAGTCTTTAGATTCTTCAAATTTACATACAAGAACAAGATCACCTGACTTATTATGTGAATTTTTCAATTGAATATTATTATTCATGGCTATTTTTAATTATACCTGTTATTTTCTTTATTTTTTTTTTGTAAATTTATAACTAAAAGGGGATTCGGTATTAGAGTTTTCACTTGTATTTAATCTTTCCTTGTTAAACCATAAATTATCTTTTTACAATTTATTTTCATTTGATCTTTTTTTTTAACAGTTGTTTTATTACATTGAGCTGAGTTTTGATATCTGTAACATTAAATTCTAGAGTGTTTGGCCTCTGATTTAGATACAATTATTAAGAGGTCTCTTTTTTTTGTGATGTCTACATCACAAAAAAAGATAAAGTTTTTTCTTAATTGAAAGGAGATAAAATTTTTAAACTGGTTTTGTGAGCTTCTTTATCTTTCTTTGAAATAGATTTTTTTTTTTTTTTTTTTAATTTATCTCCCCAAGGCCATGAAGGCCATTACTTTTGAGGAGGCTACCTTAATTTTGGGGACAAGCTTCTCTTAACACTATAACTCCAAAATACAAACCTTGATGAACAAGGTTGCTCCATGGAGAAACAAATTGAGTGTGATACTACCAGGGATGTGGTGGGGATCAAACTCAGAACTTCTCACTTATGAGGCAAGGGTTCTACAACTACACCACTGTCTCATAATGGACAACCAACCCTTATTTGCATACACAACATTTTCTGTTACTGATGCTGTTTTTTTGCTGTCTAATAATGGTGTCTTACCTGCCTGGTAACAACATTCTTTGGATTTCTCCCTTGACGTGTCTTTTATAGTAAAGATGAACTTATTGTAAAGAGAGCTACCACTTTTTTGCAGTGGATTATCACCAGGTCAAGATCTGTTAAATGTCATTATTACCTTATTAACGCAAATAGAACTAAAATTTTTGTGTTTTTTTTTTTCCATATATACAAATTAAATTTGTAATATAATCCTTAGTAATACCATGTTGATCCAATTGATTTTAAATTTATCTTTAAAACCTATAAAGCTTTTGTTCCATCTTTTTATTTTATTTTGCTAGAAATAAAATTCCTTGTAAACATTAAAATTACGTACAATGTTTATATTAAAGTTGTTTAAATGTTGTTTAAACACAATAACACATTTTAACAACATAA